CAACTTCCAGGAAGCTGGACCTACACTGAGGTATGCAAAACTGCCTTTGTATCTAAATAAAAACTCCCAAATTATTCAAGTGCCAACATATTACATCTAATTATAGTAGTTCCCCTTCCATCTGTAAATTTTATTTATGAAGTTTAAGTTATCTGCAGTCAATGATGTTCCAAAAATATTACATGAAAAATTTCAGATATAAAGAATTGTTTGGTTTTAAATTGCACATCATTCTGAGTAGCATGATGAAATTTTATGGATTCCTGTTCTGTTCCCCTGGGAAGTAAGCCATCCCTTTGTTCAGTATATACCCATCTGTTATACCTTTAGTAGTAGCTGCCTAGGTTACCAGATGAACTCTCACAGTGTTTATATTACAGTGTTTGTATATGGGGTTTGGTACTCTCTGAGGTTTTAGGTATATTCTGTGGTCTTGAAATGTAGTCTCCCTGTGAATAAGGGGAGATTACATATAGGCGCTAATGCATTCTAGAAAAGATTTAAGCATAAGTGGTTGGAGTAGATGAGCTTCAACTTTGGCTACTCTGTAAACCCTTTATTTTATGAGGAATATATAATGTTGACCACATGTTAAATTCCTTCAGCCCAGAATCACATAAGCAATTATTTCATTGGTCATTATTGGACCATGCCTCCTAAATGACTATATCTAGGATCAGGGCAAGAGAAAGATTTTCACAGGCCCTTGTTTCAATTTACAAATTCTGTCTATCATAACCATTCAAAACTGTCTTTTTTTTATAAAAACATGGGAAAGTTCAGAAAAAATAGTTCCATGACACCAAGTATAATAATACATAAATATTTATGTAAATTGTTGAAGAAAGTGCCAAATAATTGAATCTATATTCTCAGAAGAGAATTTCTGTGTGAATTTGCAGATTGGTTCTAAGTTCAGTTCTAAGCTCCAGCTCTCTGTTTCATCCCATCTGGCAGGATCTAGGTGCCCCAATATCCAAAAGACCATCCAACTTCTACAAATTAACCTGTTCTTTTGAGTCACATTGGTGGTGATATAATGGTGGTGATATAATAAATGCTGATTATTGATCTCTCATGGATCTAGGCTGTGTCCAAGCTCTCTTTTGAGGTGGAGTCCCTGCATCCTTTCACTGAATATATTTTTCGAGTGGTTTGGATCTTCACAGCCCAGCTGCAGTTGTATTCTCCCCCAAGTCCCAGTTACAGGACACATCCTTATGGAGGTATGACACACACACACATTGTTTGTGGAATAAGGACATTATTCTGAAGCTTTGGTTTAGTTTGTTTTTATTTTGAGTAATAAAAGAAATCTATTCCTTTGTTAATTCTGTTCAACAATTGAGTTCCTATGTGCCAAGTAATGCTCAAAATGACTTTGCGATCAGAACATTGACCCCTGATCTGATCAGACTAACAGTTTGGTAGAAGAGCAATATTTTCTGTAATATACAATAAATAAGATGAAGATATTATAAAATAGCATGGTACTGTGTGCTATCATCAAATAAACATTAGACCAGAGTTTGTGCTTTAGAGGATTAGAAACGTGGGATTGGGAGAGGGGAGGCTGTTCCAGTATTAAATAAGGTGGTAAGAAGAAGGCTCATTGAGTTGGGGGTGGGAGGGTTAAATTGGAACAAAGGAGTCCAGGAAGTCAGTCAAGAAGACATGTTAGATACACAGCAATCCAGGCAGGAAATGGCCATACAGAGGCTTTAGGACAAGGGCATCCCTGGCTATTTCAAAGGACAGCCAAGCACCCAGCATGGCTAGATGAAAGTGAAGAAGGTGCAGGAATAACAGATAAGGTCAAAGAGTTGGAGGGGTAGAATATCAGCTTCAGAGACCTTTGTAAAGACTGTGGAAGGAGATTGCTGTTGGTTTTTGAACAGAGGAGTGATATGATCTGAAGTGACCTCTCTTACATTTTGAAAGGCAGTATGGAGAATGGACAGTTGGGGTAGGTAGAAGCAGGCAGACCTGGTAGGTGGCTGTTACAGTGGCCCATGGGGTGTTAAGAAGTGTTTGGTTTTATATTCATGTCTTGAGATATGTTTTAGTCTTTCTGTTACTTAGGTTATAGTATTTTGGGGGGCTATGTAGCAATTATATCTGTGCAAAGATTAAGCTCCTTGCTAGTTTTTTCCCCCCCTCAGAAGTTGGTCATTTGGGTACTATAATTTTAATGTCATCAGAGGAAGATCAGGTATTCTTTTCATTCATTCTACACATTTTCTTCAAACACCTATTACATATCAGCTATTGTTCTAGGAACCAAAGAAGCTGAAGTCCAAATACTTGAAGGATTTACAATCCAGCTACTGGAGAAGGCAGAGAAGTAATTAAGCAAATGTATTTACTGACTTTGTGAGAGAATTCAATAAGTAGCATCCTTTTTCCTGATTTCTGAACTAATGAAAGATAATGCATATATGTCTGTGGGTGGGTGCAGGAATATCATCATTATTTCTGATAAAGTCTAAGTTGGATGAGGTAGCTTAGCATAAAAAAAAGTGGGATGAATTGCTAACAACCTGCTTAGACCCAGCTTAGACTTTAGAAGGGAAAGTTTGACTGTGCAAAGCTGACTAATTGCTGCCTCTTGTTGATTTTGTTAGACAGGAAAGGATAAAGAAACTAAAATATTTTTTCAAGATCTCTGAACTTGCTGAGTGTAGTGGTGCATGCCTGTAATCCCAGCAGCTCAGGAGGCTGATGCAGGAGGATCACAGGTTCAAAGCCAGCTTCAGCAAAAGTGAGGCACTAAGCAACTCAGTTAGACCCTGTCTCTAAATAAATACAAAATAGGGCTGGAGATGTGGCTCAGTGGTGGAGTGCCCCTGAGTTCAATCCCTGGTATCAAAAAGAAAAAAAAATCTCTGAATTATTTCCTCTACCTGACAGAAAATTATGGTGCAATGGCTGTTACCAATGAGTAGGAACTTGTGTTTCTCTGTAAGGAGAACTAGTGTGGGTAAGAGACAGGAGTATTTACACAAGATTCAAATAGGTATGGCAGGAGGAATAAGGAAATATCTCAATAACCAATACAGTATAATTTTGCATAGGAATAAGGGCTAAAAAGAAAAATAATATAGGATAAGTGATAAAGAATGTCTGAGGAGGAGACCTAGTTTGGATGAAAAGCTAGTCAGGGAAGGCCTCTCTGGGAATGACATTTATTCAGGGCTTTACAAGAGGCAAGAAGCTATGCAGATACCCAGGAACGAGTTTCCCAGCAAGAAGGAAGAGCAAGGACCAAGGAGCAGTGTTGGCAATGAGCTGAGTTTATTTGAGAAATGACTGACGAGGCCCGAAGGCAGTGGATAAGATGGAGGGAAGGAGATGAGATACAACAGGGTAGTCAGAGGCCTGGTCACATGGGGCCGCATAGTCTGTCATAAAGAATGTAGCTTTTATTCTAAATGTGACAGCAAGTCTTTGGAGAGTGTTAAACTAGGGGATTAGGATTGATTCAAGTTTTAAAATTTTCATTCTGGCAGTTGCATGGAGACTGGTGGGTGGAGATAGGCCAAGGGAAGGAGGGAACAGTCCAAGCAAATCATGATGATGGCTCTGACTAGGGTGGTCATGATGGAGGTGGTGGAAAAATTTGCCATATATTTTGAAGATAGAGCTGATGGAGTTGAAGAAGGGATTTGGCGAGGAGGATGGAGGATCAATCTCCATAACTTAGAGTTTTTCTGAACACCTGGGTGTTGCCATTTACTGATGAAACTTTGAAACTACTGATGAAGTTTTGAGATGTAACTTAATTCCCTGCTTCTCCCAGCAGGTGAGACTGGAGTTTCTCTCTTCTGCTCCAAGGTGGGGTCTGAGTAAGGTGCAGGCCTCTGTGGCTGAGAAGTGTTGCAGCTCTTAATGGTGGGCTATTCTCTCCAGGGTTGCAGCAGACCCCAGGAGCTCATCATCAAATCCTTCTTTCAGGGTTGTTGTGTTGTGAATTCCAAGAATGAAATCCACAGACCAGGATGAGTTAGTGTAAGAGTAGAATTTGTTGAAGAATAGAAACAGGAAGAGAACTCAAGAGCAGTTTTTTCCCCCTTGAGTGTGCTAGTCTAGGGGTTTATATAGCACTTGAGCCACTGCTATGGGTCCCAACTTAAGCTAATTTGGGTTTGGAAAATTATTAATGCTATTGGTCAATTCTTGAATCCCAACTTTCATTCAGGTCTGCCCCACTTCCATTTTTTACACTCAGGAAGGGGGAGGTTGAGGTCCTGGTGATCTGTTTGCAGGCCCTGGCTATAGAGGTGCAAGGAGTGGGCTTTTCCAGGAGAGGTACCATGCCCAGGCCTAGTCACCGAAGGGTGACAAGTCAGTGTACCTTGGTTCCCAGTGCCTCAGGATCAGCATACCTGCCTGGCAGGTTCCACATGAGCACAAGTGGTGCTTGCTGCCTGTGTTCCAACCCACCAAGGTTGCCACTCTGCTGCTTCATGACTCTGGGGCCGCTTCCTAGCTTGGATCAGAAGGCCGGATGCATGCTTAGCAGCCTGAGAGCCATGTGGCTTAGATGGAGGGAAGACTGGTGCGGGGGCAGCTTTTCTAGGGAAAATCAAATGCCTGTTTTGACCAAGTAAAATTTGAGACGCCTACCAGACATTCAAATGGAGTTGCCAAAGATGCAATTAAATGTATGAACTTGGAACTCAGCGGGTAGGTTAGAGATATCCAAAATACCAATGTATCCTTCATGCACATATAGATGTGATTTCAAACCATGGGCCTGGAGGTTATAGGCTAAGAATAAATATATGTTGAAAAGAGGAGAGGGCCAATTGTTAATCCTGGAGCATCCCCATATTTGGCAACAAAGTAAAGAAGAGGAAGACCAAAGCCAGTAAGGAGGAAGAAACTCTGGAGCTCATGGTCTCATAGCTAAGTGATGAAGTGTTTCAGAAATGAGGGTTATTAATGACACAGTTTCATTATCTCTGGAAAGTAACCAAACTTATCTTTTCTGCCTGATTACAGCTTCACTATTTTTCCCAACTTTCTTTAGAATATTGCTCTGTCAAAATGTAGTTTAACTAAACTGTTCTCTTTGGAGTGCTCCTATGTTCTTAAAGCAACACTAGTTCTTTTTTTTAAATTTCTTTTTTTAGTTGTACATAACACAATACCTTGATTTATTTATTTATGTGTTGCTGAGGGTGGAACCCAGTGCCTCACACATGCAAGGCAAGCACTCTACCGTTGAGCCACAACCCCAGCCCCAACTAGTTCTAAATAAATGCTGCTGTTGTCACATTTAAAATATATTTATGGGGTATCTATATGTGCATAGATCTGATCTGTCTTTAAGTAGCTTACTCTCTTACAGGGGAGATCAAGCACATGCTTAAATGACCCTGAAATAAAATAACTCTTAATAAAAATAATTTTAATCAGAAGCACTGACAAATTCCTGTGGAAGTTCAGAGGAGGGAGATATTTCTAGAACAAAATATCAAAGAAATTTTTCTGGAAGAGGTTTTCATTTGTTGATTTGAACATTAGGTGATACCCAGCTGACTATATGAGTAGAGTTATAGAGATTGAATTCTAAGGCATCAGGGGGAAAAGTGAGTATTCCATCTGCTTGAACCATAGGATACAGGAAGAGAAACAGAGTAACAGTGGGAAAGAGACTAAGTCCAGATTCAAAAACATTGAATGGAAAGCTTTATTTAGAAAGCAGCTGGGGGTTATGGAAGGCTTTAAAGCAGAGGAGTAATTGCTTTATATGATCTTTAAAAAAAGAATTTTGGCAACTATATAGAATGAATTGAGGGGATAAGGGGGATTGGAAAGTTAGACAACTGGGAGGCTATTCTAATATTTTTAACATTTCATCAAAGACAAGTTTAAAGAAACAGTATGTATATGGGTGTATTTTTTTACTTCTGTTTTTGAAGATCTGACTTCTCTACCAGGGAAGGGATTCCAGCCTTGAAGCCCTGCAGTGAGCAATGCTAGGGCACACACTTAGGGAGACTTGTTTGATACATTAGCGTTAGCTGAGGCAGCTCAGGAAGACTTGTTTCAGGATGCATGGGCACCCTGCCTCTCAGTCCCAGAGATATGACTGTGTCCAGAGAGCCTCAAGTGGAGCTTGGTCTTGGATTTCCGCAGAGCTGGGCAGCTGATGAAATTGGTTGAGGCATCCCTGCCTTCCTTGATGAGAGCCCTGTTCTTGCTACTAAGTCTCAGGGTTTGTGTGGCTGCTGTGCTGATTATTCTCTGACCATCTCTGCTTAGAACATTAGACATTGGTCTAGGGCCATGTTTGTAAAGTTCCAGATCAGAATGTAATACGTGGATTCTTCCCTGCTCCAAGCAATGCCTCATGTACTCCAACATTGCTGAAACATTTTCTAGAGTTGGAGAGTTACCATGGTTCAGGACTCATGGCTGGTCAAGCTAAAGTAATGAAGAAGACCAATTTCGCTTTCCATTTCTCGGCCTTTCTTTTGGAAACGATAACCCATGTTCCCTCCAAGTCTTCCACACCTGGTGTGGATCTTTTCCATGCAGAGCATCTCATGTTTAAGATTCTCCCTCACTTTTCTCGCCACATCAAAACTTAGAAACTTATCTGTTCTGAGTTCTTTGTCTTCTAGACCTATTCTCTTACAGCTATGAGAATTGTGTGATTTTTAGATTGTGTTTGCCTTTAACTGGGGCATTTTAGGAGACAATTCCTTAACTAAGAGGATGGTGGTTAGACAAGGAATGCCACCCTTTTTGGGGGGATTTGTTGTGGAGGCATTTGAACTATTACACATCATGCCATGTTGGTGGCATTTAATTTGCCTGAAGTGGAGCAGATCATATCTGGGCATAATGACCCTAATGGGGTTCTTTTTGACAGTTTGATTCTAATTCAGTGGGAGATGATTCCTTCTTTCCTGTTCACAAATGTGAATGAATACATAGAGTCACAGAGTGTTATGAAGATATTTGTGAATGAATGTTTAATCATCTAATTCGTGCTTTTATTCTTGGCAAGGGTGGGGGCACTGTGTGGCCAAGTCACCTGGTTTCTCAGGGACTTTGAGGGGATAAAGAAGATATTGTCTGGATCACCAGAGCTGATGGCCACAAGAGTGAAGTAGACTGGTCCAGTTCTGGCCTATCTGAATCCACATCTTCAGCTGAAACCAGTGTGACTACAGCAACAGGAGTGAAAGATCCCAGGACCTTTTTTTTTTTTTTTTTTTTCCAATTCACGTTAATCATTGACTCTAGTTTGTTCAGGTTCTCTTCTCCTTCTTAACTTGGTTCCATCCTGGATTCAATACATTTAGGTCTCTAGAGAGTTTTGACAACCCTTTTGCTAGAATATTTATTCTATTTGTATACTTTAAAATTTAATTTTATGTCATACATTAGAAGTGAAGAAAATAACATTTGAAGGAGTCTTTTGGTAAACATTAATATTTAATTGGTGTGATTTAGTGATCCAGAGTTGCAGATCATGGTTTCTTACCATATTCTATCACATATTTTGAGTATTTGCCAAAATATTTTATTTCTGGCTGGGCCTTCTGGTGCATGCCTGTAATTCCAGTGACTCAGGAGGCTGAAGTGGGAGGATTGCAAGTTCAAGGCCAGCCGGGGTGATTCAGTGAGACACTATTTTAGAAGAAAGAGTAAAAAGGGCTTGTACCACATTGGTAGAGAGCTCCTGGGTTCTATCTTCAGTACCATAAAAAAAATTCTGTTAACTTTTCAAAAACTGAGATTTTTTTCCTGTACTATTTTAAGATCATAAACCCTGTACATTTCCATTTTTCATTATGTCATTATTTCTTCTAGTTCCTGAAACTGCTCCATTCATTAAGAATATTGAAAGTTCAAGTCCGGATACTGTGGAAGTCAGCTGGGCTCCACCCCAATTCCCAGGTGGACCTATTTTGGGTTATAACTTAAGGTTGATCAGCAAAAACCAAAAACTAGATTCAGGAACACAGAGAACCAGTTTCCAGTTTTACTCTACTTTACCAAATACCACCTACAGGTAAGATTTCAGTGGACTGATGCAAGGGAAAATGTAGGCAACATGGCTGCAAGCATAATTATTTTTTTAAAATAACTAACATAGTTTAAATATATTTTGAGAAGTGTCACTAACTCCATGCTGTTGGGTTCCAGTCTTGGGAACTTCTATGCTTATACGATCACATAATCCTCAGCAAAAATATTTTCAAGTGCTTCTATTTTATTTAGAGGATCCATATAAGTTTAAGCTAATAAAAACATCATAAATACCACAAATGACATTTCTTCATTAGATCCAACATGAACAAAGTAAGGAGGAAAAATTCTGGTAATTGTATTTTTATTTACCATTGGGGATTATTTTGTCATTGTTAGCTTCTGTGGCATTTACTAAGGGATCTTTAAATTAGAGGAAGAATGGGGGTTATGCAGATAGTAGAGTTCAGCTTTGACCTCAATGACCCTGAACTCTTCTGTGGGAAATGCAAACAAGGATGTGATTGATGGTCATTTTAGTGCTGAGCAGTGACACTAAGTAACTAGATATATGCATTGCCACACAGTCCTTTAAATAGAAATGTTATTGCTTCTTCTATTTTTATCTCATGTTCACACCATGCCATGTGAAACACATCTCTCCAAATTGTTTTTGGAATAGGTTTTCTATTGCAGCAGTAAATGAAGTTGGTGAAGGGCCAGAAGCAGAATCTAGTATTACCACATCATCCCTAGCAGGTATGGCCCAGGGTCGCACTTTTGTTACATAGAAGTGAAAGGTGACAAAGGTAGGTTCAGAATTCAGTGGTATTGAGTCCTCTGGTATACCTCAAGATGCCTCCTCTTCTGCCCAAATGTATGTCAATTTTGGGTACTTTAAACTTTTGATTTTAAGTGGTTAAGTACTTGACAAATAGAATTAAGTGGTTAAATTGGAAGTTTTCATGTTAGAAGTTAAGAACTTAAAAAACAGAATTTAAAATTTTAAGAATAAAAAAAAGTCTCAAATGCTTAGTTTCAATTGAAATCACAAGGATTGTGAGTTATTTTTACACACCTAAGGGATGCATATAGCCTTATTTCCTTACTCCCTACATTATGTGCTGTTATTGGAGTCCTATCAGACATCTTATTTCTGCAGTCTTCATAAGTTTTTAATTATATCTGGAGTTTGATAATTTATATTTTGCCATTTTGAATATTTAATCTACCAAATCATCTTTTCTATTGTTTTGCAGCAACAAAATAAAAGGATAGCTTTTTGGCTTTAATATTTTAATCATGGCCCTGAGTGGTTAAATTCTTACTGTATTATGCCTATATGAGCAAAATAATAAATGAAAATGCTTTCTAAGAAGCATTAGACATTTGGGGCCAGTATTAGTAAAAGGGTTTGGAACAACAGTCTAGGACTTATAATTCTAGGAGTCTGCTGTTTTCACCAGAACTCCATTTGTTCACTTGACCGCCCCTTACCCTCATCTGCACATGCCTATGCCAGAGCGTATTGAATGTCATCTATCACCAGCCTTTAGTTTTTTTTGGCTGTTCCTAGACTCTAGGAAAGGAGAGGTATTTTTGTTATGCAAGAAGCATGTCCAAAGGGCATGTTAAATATAGATCTGTGTTAAGGTTGTTATGTGATTATTGCAATACATCATTAATTGGCCTAAAAGTGTTCATCAGCCATGGACGGCGCGTTGGTCTTTCTTGCCTCAAAGGGAGGGATACTGAAGACAACATAGATACAACCAATGTCTGTCTATGTGTGTGTGTGTGTGTGTGTGTGTGTGTGTGTGTGTGTTATGCACCAACCTGTTTTGGCTGTGAATGGACTACTTCTGCCAACCAATGCTCCTGTCTGGGGCCAGTGAGTGGAGCTCCTATTGGGGCAAGGATGTTGGGAATGGTAACACCTCATGTGATATAATTTTGGGGGTACTTCAGGGCACACACACACAAGACCTGCTTGGCTGCCACAGTGCTTCTTACCTCTAACCATGGAATAATGTGGATTATACCATAGATGAAATGCCCCAGTGCCTTCAGAGAATATTGGGGCTCTTTTAAGCATGATTTCCCTTTGCTTTGAATGGTAGTGTTGATATATATATATATATGTATATACATATATATATATATATATATTAGTGTGCATTTATTTGGTTTGTTTACCTAAAAATTATATTGCTTTTCAGTTCAAGAAGAGGAACAGTGGCTCTTTTTATCCAGAAAAACTTCTCTAAGAAAGAGATCTTTAAAGCACTTAGTAGATGAAGCACATTGCCTTTGGTCAGATGCTATACACCATAATATTACAGGTCAGTATCAGGAAGAAATGTTTCCTTAAGGTGAAAAGAAAGACTTGAAATTTCTAGAGGAAATGCTTCTAGAATGGAGGAATATTAAAAATATATTTTTGGGTCTGGAGGAGCACTCAGTGATAGAACATGTGCTTAGCATGAAGGAGCCTGGGCTTCTTTCTCCAGTACCCAAACCAAAAACAACACCACAAACAAACATAATAAAAAACAAAATACAAAAAATAAAATAAAACAAAAAAACCCCATTTTTAATTTTTTTTAGTATATACTCTTCTAAGTTCTTATAATCTATTCTATACACATAAGAATAATTTACAATAACATTTTCTTCTAAAATAGAATCTGATTACTTTATTAAACATTAAAGAAATAAATATCATGTAAACTCTTTTTTTTTGTCCTGGTTGTTATGTAATAATGGGCATGTATTTGTGTGGCTCTTTTAGGAATATCAGTTAATGTCCACCAGCAAGTTGTTTATTTCTCGGAAGGAGCTCTTATTTGGGTGAAGGAAGCTGCCAACATGTCTGATGTGTCTGACCTGAGAATTTTTTATAGAGGTTCAGGATTAATTTCTTCCATCTCTATAGACTGGCTCTACCAGAGAATATATTTCATCATGGATGGACTGGTAAGTCTCAGAATTTAAAGTGAATAACGTAGATATATACTGATACACATATCTTGGTATATTTAAAAGTAAACACAATTCCCTCATCCAATGCATACTTATTTGGTACTTACTTAGGACATTAAAGTAGCAATCAATCCTAAATCTGGTCTGAAAGAGTATCTAGCCTTTACCTAGTACTAGTCATGCCATACTAATAGAACATTTTAATTTATGATTTTCCAGAGTTGTGAGTTAATACTAATGATAATTTATCCATGATAAGATAGTGGCAGTACTGGTAATTATCATTAGATAAAACTATCCATCAGGATCAAAGTCAGTTGGAGGCATTTTTAATTATATTATAACCCAGGGCAACTTTAGTAGGCCTCTGAAAATAAGTAGTACTAAAGCATTAGAGAAGATATAATCTTGATGTGTTTCAAGTTATATTTCTTTGGAAGGTACAGGCTTGTCACAACAAGCCAAGAATATCACTATGCTTGGAAGCACATAAGCTTGGATATGGTTTACACCTTAAAAATAGTTTGGTGTCTCACAAGCCTGGAAAATAGGTACTTGTATTTCACTGTTACCAATAGAATATGAACTCATTAGGATATAGGATATAGAACTGGATTTTAAGGGCTTCTTTTATTTTGTAAAGTGTTTAGTGAGTAGCACAATTCCAAGCGTAGAACAGGGACTCAGAAAATACTTGTTGGCCAGATTGAGGACAGACATTAATCCTACTGATATATTTTTGGTTCTATAGGTATGTGTCTGTGATTTAGAAAACTGCTCAAACTTTGAGGAAATTACCCCACCATCTATTATTGCACCTCAAAAAATTGTGGCTGACTCTTACAATGGGTAAGGTTTAGTATATGATTTCTTATCCATTGGCAAAAATCTTCATGGATCTTACTTGGTAATGGAATACTGCTGCTCTATGGCACTGGGTGAGCCAGTCTACACATCTTATTTTAGATAAGTTTGATTACATTTCCAGGTAAATTTTTCATTTATAGATCCAGGAGAACATTTCTTTCAAACTTTATTGACTCCTTTTCTACTTCTGAAATATGGGTATATGTAAAGACCTTTGGTCTGGGGCTCAGAGTCCTGGATTGTAATTCTTGATTTCTGTTTTAGTCACCTATTTTTTTTTTCTGATGCTGTGACTAAAAGATCTGATCAGAACAATTTTAGAGGAGGAAAGTTTTATTTGGGGCCTCACAGTTTCAGAGGTCTCAATCTATAGACAGTAGGCTCCATTCCTCGGGGCTCAAGGTGAAGCTGAACATCATGGCTGAGAAGTGTAACAGAGGGAACCAGCTCACATGATGATCAGGAAGCAGAGAGAGAGGTCTTCACTTGGCAGTTACAGATACCCCCAAACCACACCCCAATTCCCACCTCTCCAGCCAATTACCACTCAGTTAATCCTTATTAGGGGATTAATTCACTGATTGGGTTAAGACTCTTACAACCCCATCCTCTAAACTTTCTTGCATTGTCTCACACGTGAGCTTTTGGGGAATATCTCATCCAAACCATAACAATTTGTCTATGATGGGACTCAGTATCTCATTGTATTCACTGTGAATGTATTTTGTGAACTCCAAATGAACACAAGTGTGAAAAATGAAAACACAGATTGTTATTTTGGGGTTATTTTTTCTTAAGTATATCCAGATAACCAGATTAGTAACTAATAAGCCAGGTAAATGTGGATATGATTAAACATTATTTTTTTTCTGTGGGAATAAAATTGTTTTCATTTTGAATGAAAAAATATAGCCCATAACATATATTTTACACAAACTAAAATTTTTTGAAAAAGATTGTTTGGGCTGGGAATATAGCTCAGTTGGCAGAGTGCTTGCCTTGCATACACAAGGCCCTGGGTTCAATACCCAGCACCACAATAAAAAAAGGATTGATTTTTATTGCTTTAACATCAAACTTTTCTATTCATATTCTCTTAAGATTTATTAAAGATTCATTTTTGACTTTAGGTTTGAATGAATCACTGAATTTTAAAGAGTATTTTAAAAAACACTCTGATATAGGGCAAGTTCTTTGAATTCTCTAGATCTTATTTTTCTCATTTGTAAAAGTTTAAAAACCTATGAAATCTAACATTGTTGGCAGTTACACAAAATGTTTCATTCTGAGGATAATGAATTTCACTAAGTCAATTCTTAAATGCAATATATATTGGTAGCTCTTTTTTTCCAATTAGGATAGAATTGATTTATGCTTAGATTTTGAAATGTGACTATAAATGATCATGATAACTGCAATTTATACAAATTTGTTTATACTTGTGTTTCTAAGTATACTACTTCCAATAATTCTGTTTATCCTTGTTCAACCCTATGAGATAGGTACTTTTATGAAATAAAGGAATTGAAGTACAAGTTGATTTAGTAATTGTCCAAGGTCACACAGCTATTTTGTGATGGAACCAATTTGGGGCCTTGTCTTCTCATCTCTTTATACCATATGAGAGAATTTCTGTAAAAATCAGCATGTAACTTTTAGCCATAATTTGCATTGAATCTTCTATAGGACACCTGATGTATGAAGCAGTTTTCTCTCCTGGTATTAACAATATTTTTTTATGCTGTTATTTCTGTACCATTGAATTATTCCCTAGTTGAGTTATAAACCTTTGCCCATCTCCCCTCCCTGGTTCCCTTTGCCTCCTGCCTCTGCTTTTTCTCCTCCTACCTCTGTCCTATTTCTCCCACTCCCCAGCTCTTCTCCTTCCTTCCTTCTCTTTTCCTTCTGAAGTTGAGATCAGAGTTCAAGATCCACACTCTTTCCTGCTTCAATACAGGAATTGTTCATTTGGGGGGGGCAGGTATTCAGGGATTGAACTCAGGACACTCAACCACTGAGCCACATCCCCAGCCCTATTTTGTATTTTATTTATTCAGGGTCTCACTGAGTTGCTTAGTGTCTCACTGTTGCAGTAGCTGGCTTTGAATTTGTGATCCTCTAGCCTCAGCCTCCAGAGCCGCTAGGAGCTGGGATTATAGGTGTGCACCACTGTTCCCAGTGGAATTGTTTTGTCTTTATTCCACAGATCTTTTCCCTTACCTACTCTGGAATTCCTCTAAATTTTTTTTTTTTTTTTTTTGGGAAAAAAAGCAGAAAGTTAAGAGCCATGCATTTGGCCTGCTATGAGGCTTCCCTTGAGAAAAAGAATGATCTCAAAAGGCAGTTTATATCTCAGGGTGTTACTCTATCATATCAATAAAGAATAGGAACAGGGGAATAAGAGCGAACTGAGCAATGACAAGGAAAATGGTCTTGACAGTTGTGATGGAGGTTGGAATGCTGCCAGTGCACGGGGCTGTGATAAGAAGAAGTTACCAACCACAAGTGCACTTTCATTAGCCTCTGTCTTCATGGTCACAAATTCAAAATAAGTTATTTAGTGATTTAGTGCCAATTTAGTGCCAATCAGTGATTTTACATTTTAGTTAAAATTTCACTTACACATTTGATGATCAGTGAAATATTTTGGTGGTGTGTTTTCTTTTTCATTATTGAAAGATGACCTGCCTGCTACCATGACGTCTGTCTCCAAATTGTGTGTTTTCTTTAAAGTTTTGCTTTCTTCCATTTATCATTTACAATGTATAAAAAATTAACTGATAATTACACTTAATTCACACAAAAATTTTGTGTATTTTGGAGGAAAATGTTTTATAGTAAGTAACATATTTATCCATGTAATTTTTATATAACATGCTCTCCTTTGAAGGATCTTTTCTGTTCTTCAATTTCATGATACCTTAAAAAACACTTATAACAATTAAAAGATGAAGTATTACAAGTAATGCTGAAATTTTGCAAACTTAAATGAATAGAGCATATCTTTAGAAATGACCTTTACCCTTTTGTACCTCTGGGGCTCTGTACTTAGTGATTCCAGAGATACATGATTCTGATTATACAAAAGGTTAAAGCAATTAGCTGAGGAGGTTGCTTGTCACCTTGCACTGAATCACACCAGCCTCTTTGTTCCCATGTCAGGTATGTCTTTTATCTCCTGAGAGATGGCCTTTACAGAGTTGACCTCCCTGAGCCACCTGGCAGGGATGCTAAAGCTGTGCACATCGTGGCGAGTAGTACCTTGAAAGACTTTGCCGTCAAGCCACAGTCCAAGAGAATCATTTACTTCAACGACACTGCCCAAGTCTTCATGTCAACATTTCTGGATGGCTCGGCTTCCCATCTTGTCCTACCTCAGGTCCCCTTTGATGATGTGAAGAGCTTTGCTTGTGAAAACAATGACTTCCTTGTCACTGATGGCAAGGCCATTTTCCAACAGGACACACTCTCTTTTAATGAGTTCATTGTGGGATGTGACCTAAGTCATATAGAAGAATTTGGGTTTGGTAACTTGGTTATCTTTGGCTCTTCTGCGCAGCCGCACCCTCTACCAGGCCGTCCGCAGGAGATCTCTGTGCTATTTGGCTCTCACCAAGCCCTTGTTCAATGGAAGCCTCCTGCCCTCGCCATAGGAGCCAGTGAGTACACTGTCCACTGGGTGGCTACTGGCCTTATTGGAAGGAGAGGAGGCTTGAATTGCTTGGGATTCAATTTTGAGAGCCCACATATTGTTTGTCACTGCTACTTAGCTAAGAAAAGGTGATTGTACGTTTGTTCTGCATTTATTACTTTTCCAATAGGATGATCTCTATAATTCCCAGGTGGATCCTAACAGAACAATTTGGTCATTTATTGACCGTCTACTAGGAGCTACACTCTGATACCCTGGTCAGAGTGAATTTACTAGCCAAGAGGATAGAAGACTGGGGTTGAGATCTTGCATAAATTTGAGCAAGTCTCTGAAACTCTTTGAACTTGTAGCATGTGGGTAAACAGGAAAGCTCTTGAGCCAGTCTGATTCAAATCCTGATCTTGCTAGCAGAATGACTCTGGGCAATTACTTAACCACTTTGTGACTTGGTTTCTATAACTAGAAAATGAGACTTTTAATGATATCTTTTAATGGGACTGCCAGACAGATTAAATTAAGAGACAGAAGGAGAACACTTAGAACTGTATCTAGCACAGAGTTCAGCAAACTTTTTACTAAAGGAAGAGCCAGATGGTAAGTAATTTGAGCTTTGTGGGTCAGGTGGTCTCTGTCACAGTTACTCAGCTATTCCTGTGATGTGAAAACAGTCATAGATATTATGTAAAGAAATAACCGAGGCTATGTTTTAGTACAATTTTATTTACAGAAATGGGTAATGGGTTTGATTTGACCTATGGGCTATATAGTTTGCCAACCCTGGTCCACTAAGCAGTAAAACTTAGCAAACATTGGCTATGTTTTTACTTTAAGACAAAGTTAATTATTACTGTGTGCTGCATATCTCCAAAATGGTTGAGAATCAATGAGTAATTTCCCCCCATATTGATTGAGCTTCTTGGAGGTACTATGCAAACATAGAAATTATATTGAAGACTCATCAATAGACATTTTTATTAACAGCCTGATTACATCCGGTAGTGTTATAGAGAATGCTTCTGCAATCCTACGAGGCCAACAATATAGCTCTGACTGAGGGACAGTTTTACTAATGGGAATGATGGCCCCGTCTGTAGAGGAAAGTGAGTGGCTTGGAAGGAATGAGCACTGTCCCAGTCTTTTTGTCATATTGATGTTGATGGTTAGATGAGTAATGGGCATTACTGCCTAATTATTCCTCATTCGAGATGAAGCTGTTGAGGAACTTACTGACAATTCTTGGTTTGCCCTTATTGTTGTCATCCTGGTCAATGACATTGTTGAACTCTTTTTATTAGGCCCTTCTGCATGGCAGAACTGGACGTATGAGGTGAAAGTATCATCACAAGACCTTCATGAGGTCACTCACATTTTCTCAAACATAAGTGGGACCATGCTCAATGTGCCCAGGCTGCAGAGTGCTACAAAATACAAGGTTTATGTGAGAGCAAGTTCTCCCAAGGGACCAGGCCCCTGGTCAGAACCCTCGGTGGGTACTACCCTGGTGCCAGGTGAGAGTCTGTTTTGGATACAGGAAGTGATTCTGACAAAAAGAGTCTTAGCCCAAGAGTCCTTTAAAATTCTGTGCCCCTAATATGTTGAAATAAATTAGAATGAAGATGTGTCAACTCTTGAGGATTCACACACACTCACATACATACCTGAGGTCAGGAAAGAAAGCAAAACAGAGTGAAATTTGTGCTTCTAGCTTGCTGTTTTAAACTTTACAAGATATATTTGAGGAAACAGAATAATTTTCTTTTTTCATGAGTTTCCTCTTTCTCATGGCTTACTAAGCCATAGCGTCTCTGAACTCTGCAGGTCTTTAAGGGAGAAGTTTAGGGGATGTCAATTATGTCAAATTCTATCTTCTTAGCTGAAAGAAATGGAAGGCTAACTGTATCACTTTTATTGCTGTTGTTATCACAATTACTTCTGGGCACTTGGAATGGAACCATTTAGATAGTAGCCACAGTCCAAAACTCTGCCATGACCATGACACTATCATAGAGGCAACATTGCCACACAAATTTATTCACATTCAATTTCAAATCTTTATGTAAAAATCAGAAGGTATGTTTAATATGATAGATAAATAACTCTATAAAGAATATAGAATTACTGATGTTCCTCCATAGTATTTTTAAAAATACTGATCATTCTTTTACTTTATAAAAGAAATATTATAAGATATTTACCTTAGAAAACATGGTTTCTGTGATATTTCTTTCTTTTCTTTTTATTTCATCAAATAGCTACTGAACCACCATTCATCATGGCTGTGAAAGAAGATAGGCTTTGGAGTAAACCTTTAAATAATTTTGGCCCAGGAGAGTTCTTATCCTCTGACATAGGAAATGTGTCAGGTAAATACCCTTGTTTATGTAGATGACAAGTTTATCCTCACATGGCTTCCTAAGTGATTCAATGAGTGAAAAGAATTGTGGTTTTGCTACTAGGTCAATAGTGAAAAGAAAAAAATATTGACGGGGTGATACTGCCAGGGATATTGTGTTCACAAAATGTGAGGTTATTTATTGATGTATAACCAGTTCAGGAAGTCTTTGATATATTGCTCTTGTATTTTAATCAATAAATGTCACCTCATAGGAACAGCCTATTTCCACTCCGACAGCTATTCTTAAATTAATATGCTACGTGCTTCCTGTAGGACTGCAGCAAGGAACTGCTGGGTAGAGTTCTCAATAAGGTTTAAGAAAGAATTTGTGGACAAAGATGATTATTAAGTAAAGAATGGGGAGTTTTGACTAGGAGAAAAATAACTCATCATCCTAAGGTGATATAACATTTATTTTGCCTGAAGATGATCTCTTCTATAATTACCTAATTATTTTATCAAATGGCTTGGCTATTAAAAGCACAACAATGTTTCTTACTAACATGGGATCTGGATTTAGGAGGTAGAGTGGTGCTAATGGAAAGGATGATACTTTGGAGTTGGTTGGAATCTGGGCTTCCTTTCTTTTTAGCTGTGAGGATTCAGACAGAAGAGTTAATCTCGCCGTATCTCATATTTGCCATCTTAAACATGGGAGTCATTCCTACTTCATAGCTTTGTTTTAGGACATGTAAAGTTCCTGGGACAATATATGGCATAAAGGGGATGCTCAATGAATATTAGCTCCTCTGCCCAGTTCTAGGGGTTGAGATTCTTAGTTTACATTATTGAAATATTCTTGACAGATCTCTGACATTCTAGTGCTTTAAAATTATACTGCAGTGTCTGTGTGATTTGTTGACTCACCTGATTTTTTTTTTTTGGTATAGATGAGAAATAACTGCTAATGATTTTTTGTCTTTGTTTGGAGACATGGATTGGTATAACAACAGCCTCTACTACAGTGATGTGAAAGGTGACGTTTATGTGCGGCTGCTGAATGGGACGGTTATCTCTGAGAATTATCACATACCCAACATTGCAGGAGCAGGTGCTTTAGCTTTTGAGTGGCTGGGTCACTTTCTCTACTGGGCTGGAAAGACATACGTGGTACGTTAAAACCTGGCATCCTTGGTGCTCTAATAAATGCCTACCCACTTTAGTGACTAGCATTTTTTTTTTAAAACTCTTTTTCCTTCTCAGGTACCACCTCTGCTACCATTTATGTGATATTTGTCTCTATACCTGCTCAATCTTAAAGTGCATTTATGTGTAAAGTGCATTCAGGCAAGCTGAATATATAAAATATATACAATAAAATGCTTACTTGAGGATCAGTATCTTGGCAGTAACATAGCAGACTCCAAAGACTGATTAAAGGAAACTAGTGAAAAGACTATTCTTAAAAGTGTAGATGAGGATAGATAAAGTGAATAAGGATTAGCAAATCATCCCCTGGGCTAATTGTGGGGAGATATAACTCCAGGTGTGAAGAAGGGGAAGAACTTGGAGAGGTCTATAGCTGTAGGAAAGTTGCTGACATGAACTATGTCTTTAGACATAGAAAACCAGCCACTATCAAGCTGCATAGTCTGGCAAGGAGTGAGCTGGGGGCATTAGTGTCCAACTGTCTTTCCTCCTGCCTGCTGATCTGCTATTTCCATTGGCCAAACCTCACTAGAATCCAGAGAATAAGATATAGCAGATTACATAGTCCATTGATGTCAGCCCCTGGGGACACAGAGGAGGGTGGAGAGGTATGGAGAATAGACCTGCAGTAAAATGAAAATATTCAGCACATGTTTGCAGTTACTGCAGAAAAAGGATGATGCCCAATGAGGAGAACACTGGCCTGACAGATCAAGAATATGGGACTGAAATTGTTTTCTAATTATGAGGGTTCTTATTGTCCATTCATTAATTTGTTCAACAATCATTTATATATTACCATTGTGTTGATAGTCTTGGGAGTAGGCACAGTAGGAAATATAAATTCAATAGTAGAAATGTCCCTGTTCTTAAAAAAGAAAAACAGCTTGAAGAGCTACCATTCACATACCATAAAATTCATCCTTTTATTGAGTAAAATTCAGGGGTTTTTACTATGTTTGGCATTGTGTGACCATTGCCACTTGTCCTAGCTCTTTTGAAGAGATGATATATATATATAAAATAATAAAAGAAACATAAAAAGTGTGTATTTAGAGGGAAATTCACAGGTGCCAGACATAGGCAAGCTGGATAGAGTTGAGAGGGGTTATTCACAGAATGCTTTCCAAAACAATTGAGTTTAAAAATAGTTTTGAAGGAGTGGAAGAGTAGATATAAAAACTGTTTTCTAGTATTTGCTCTATCTCTTTTGAAATGGCTTAACTCCAGGGAAGATGATTGCTCAACTTTGTTTAACTCAGTTTACTTGCAAGGAAAAAATATATATATGAAAAAAATTCTCATATACTTAATGTGAAGATTACAGGAGAAAATTTCTTAAAGATAAAAGTGAATCTACAGTGCCTGTCATATAATAGTTACTCATGAGTAGTAGTAATTAATATCAGGAAGAGAGGAGTAAGGAAAGAGGTCATTTATCAGGATGTACACATCTTTTTCAGGGATCCAATCAAATCTGTTCTTATACCTAAGTGTTTTGATTGGATGTGTAATTGGGAATACAGAATATTTTGATTCAAAATAAATTTATTTCCCTTAACTTTAGAGACACGAAAGGAAATAAGATCCATGAAGGCAGGATTTGTGTGTGTTTTTTATTATGTTTCCAAGGCTTAACACATAACCCAGCATGCAGTGTTGATAAATATTTGTGGTTGAATAAATAAAGGGATGGATGAATGGGACAATTTGACAATGATTACAATAAGTTATTCAAAAATATTGAAGTCACTTAAAAATCATTAACTGACTATACCATTATGTTTTGTAGATACAAAGACAGTCAATGTTGACTGGTCACACAGACATTGTGACTCATGTGAAACTACTGGTGAATGACATGGTGGTGGATTCGGTTGGTGGCTATCTCTATTGGACCACGCTATACTCTGTTGAAAGCACCAGACTAAATGGGGAAAGTTCCCTTATATTACAGGCACAGCCTTGGTTTTCTGGGAAAAAGGTAACAAGTTAAAAATAAGATCTGATCATTTAATATTAATGGTAGTGTTCTATAGTTATAACACTGTTTCTGCTTATTGTGAGTAGCTGAGGTACAATCCTAAAGGAAATACTACCATAGTAAGATTTTGGTGTAAACAAAAATTTCATTGGTGTTATTTGATGTCACAATTGATTATACAAATTCAAATATAGTATGGAGAGTTTT